GTTTTACACCAGTGACCTCAAGAAAGTTCAGCTGAGCTGAATGCTTATGGTTGGCCCAAAGACCTGCTGTTCTACTTGCARTGAAACAGTGCAGAGAGCTGCAGGTATGGTAACTTGTTTAGCAGGATCCTCTGCCCCTTGTTTTGGGTGTGTCTTTTTAGCACACTCAACGTGGGTGTTGAGCAGTCTGCGCAYCCCCAGCCTCGGTCTGTGCAGAGCAGGAGCTGTTCTGCAGAGTTTCACCCCATTCCTAAGAGTATGAACCAGAATTGTCTGTGTGGAAGTTTCCTCATACATGGGCTCAGATGAAGRTGATAAAAAACCCTGCCTTGCTCTTAGGGAATGAGGGCAGCAGTCAGTGTTGGAGGGTAAGCTTCAGCCTTTCCAATGCAAATGAGCTCAGGATAAACATACTGAACTATGTTCGTGTTTTGCTGGTTGCAAAAATCAAGTATGTGCAAACATGAGAAACAGCCTGGCWGCAGAGTTGATCTGCATGGGAAGAAATTAAAGCATGTGTTGTAGAGATGACATCTGGGCTGGAAAGTAGTGATAAAACTCCTGTTAAGAACTGTCAAAGACTATTTTCATTTTTGCTTGCTTGGTGCACTAAACAGCAGAAAAAAACTCATGTTTCTTTGTTTTGATGKATATTAAAGATAAACCTTATCCTAAAGATAAACTGAGGCTTTTCTGCAGGGGATGTGTTTGTGTGTRTGATTTGACATAGGGAGACAATCCAGTTGTGTAATGTGTTTGCTTACTATAGTACAGAAATGTTGGAAATMCTGGCCTAGATACCTTGTTTTCCTGTGCAGCTCTGTGATGGTTGTATTGCCTTATCCTGTGTAAAGGTACTTGTCTCTGCATGTTCAGGAGATTATAGCAGAGGCCCTTTTCAGCCACTTCTTGTAAAGCACATCAGGCTCTCCCATGGCAAGTGCAAACTACTGCTTCCAAAAGTCTGCGYTGCCGGAAATATTTGAGAGAAGTGTGGCTGCTGCATTTATCCTCCCCATGTAAAATGGAGCAGCACTGGAGCATTACCCAGAAACAATTCTTCTGCACAGATTAAAAAAAATCTGCGTTACTATAACTGGCCTGTTTCCCATGTATTTTGTGTAAGTATCCTGCAACTTAAYAGCATTTGTAGGAAATCTTATTACCACAGCAAATGTGGATGTGCTCAGTGGGATTCTTGTAACTTTTCTTGTGACTTACTCTTTCTAGATGCAGTGGCAGTCTGCACTTGTAGCTCAGCAGTCCCTGTACACTTGTGCCTTATACCATATCTTGTGAAGTGCCATTAAATGCTGAGGGTGGCAATTGAAGGAATTCACRTTGGCATCCAGTGTCATTCTTACTGTAATTTCCCAATCTGTTTTTAATGTCACATGTCATGAGCTAAGTCAAATTTTATGCTCTCTTTTGTCAGAACTTTGCTGGAGATTAGTATGGGGAAGTTCCTGAAATTTCTACAGATTGACTGGAGAGCTGAGTTGGAAGGAGCCTCTGGAGGTCTCTGTTGCAGACTCTGGCTCTGAGCAGAGGGTTAGATCAGGACGTTCTGGGCCTTGCTTCAGTCAAGTCAGGAAGATGTCCAAGAATGGAGATCCCACAGCCTCGTGGGCCCTGTTCCAGTACTTAATCACGCTCATTGAATATAATTAATACTTTTTTCACAATTGGAATATTCCTTGTTGCAACTTGTAACTGTTGCCTGTAGTCTTTTCAACACGTACTTCTGAGAATAGTGGCTCCATCATCATTAGTGTAGTGTCCAAAAAGCTTTCCTCATATGTGTGTGTGTGTAAAAACTATTAAAAGAATTCAAGCCACTTTGGGGAATGATGAACAATATCTGTTGCATCATCCCAGTCTTCATCCACGCCTAAAGGCAGTGTACTTAAAAATCATGAACACCTTGACCTGAGAGCATTGTTTCAACTGCAAATGAGAGAAAGTGAAAAATCACTCTGCCCAGGAAACAGTTCATGGTAAATAAGAAAAGGAGTACAGCTAGTGTGTAGAACAGGATGTGGCCCAAGTGTTTGGTTAGTAAGACATCAGTAGAGTAAGAATTCTGACCATTAATGCAAACAGYGTTCTGTAACTGTGTCCTTCCCTTGCTCGTAGGGAGAGGAAAGGAGCTGCCTGCTGCTAGGATTGGTTCCCAGGCAGGCTGTCCTCAGAGGATTGGGGAAGGAAGAGCTTCTTGCTCAGGGAGAGGAAGAATCTTGAGGAAGCTTTTAAATTCCAGCGTTGTCTGGAGTGGAGAAGGACTTGCAGTTCTGTCTAAGAGAGAAATGCAGAACTTCTGCCTAGAGAGGGTGCACATACTGTAGTAGCATCTGCAATGTTGCTGGCTGCATCTTGGAAGAGGGGAGCTGCTCCTCGCTTCCTGCCCCCAAATCACAGAGAGTTTTTCTGGAAAACCCTCCTACCTTTATTACTCCTTGTGCAGGCTGGGATGACTCACAGAAACTGCTTGGTCGCTATGAGAAGGGTGAGTCTGTAGGAGTGACTGAGGTCTGTGCACTTCTGGGATCCTGCTCATGCATGACAGATTGGATAACCAGCTCTTGGTGTCTTTTCCTGGTATTAATTACTCGGAAATGATCTGTCTCCTTGCTTTCCCCCAGTGTATTTCACTTCTGTATCCATGTGTCATTGCTGTGGCCCTGTGTGCACAGAACTTGTAGCAGCTCATGAATGGAGCAGTTGCCAGCAAGTCAGGAGGAGGTATCTAAAAATGGTTGCTAGGAAGGGTCTTCATTACAAAACCATCAGACTGTCCTTACTGTCCTTTTGGTTTTGGTTGTCTTTTTTTTTTTTTTTTTTTTTTTTTTTTT